GATATGAATAGACTGATATATATATATATATATATATATATATATGTGTGTGTGTGTGTGTGTGTGTGTGTGTGTGTATTTAAGCAGCAAATTCTCTTTTAGCCATGTATGAATATATTACAAACATTATGTTTGGTTATTTTAGCATAATCCTTTCATATTCAGGAATATTTGATCGTAGTTCACGGAAGAATATTCGTGAATATGAAAGGATTATATAAAAATAAGCAAACATAATGTTTGCAATTTATTTAATACACACACACACACACACACACACACACACACACACACATATATATATATATATATATATATATATTAAAAAGAAGAGAGAAACAACAAACGTTTTTGGTTGTAATGTGTATTTTTTTTAAATATTAAGCTTTATGGAAAATAAAGCATAATATTTTTAAAAAAAAAATCCACATTATAACCAAAAACGTTTACTGTTTCTCTCTTCTTTTTAATATACACATTTTTCTCTCGTTGGAACTACTATAACCTCTTCACTTTATATATATATATATATATATATATATATATATATATATATATATATGGAGTGAGATAGAGAGAGGTGTATTTTACTATGCAGAAAACAAAGCAAGGAAAAGAATATTTTGCTTTGTGTTATTGCGTTTAAAGTACATAACATATTTTGATTTTATTTCAGAGTGTTTAAATCTTAGAAATGTTCATAGAAGTGATTTTAATTTTCTAAATCTTATAACTACTAAAGCTTTTCATAAACTGAAGCGTTATCAATATTAAAAACTAATATCTGTTTTCATTGTTTTATTGTTATAATGTGTTTTTTTTTTATTACGGTCGTGTTGAAATATGTACTAATATGGTTTGCAATAAATAATAAAATAGTTTAATTTCTTAAAGAATAGTTTCATTGACAGACAAAGGATAGCTATTCTACTTAATTTACAGAATTTAAAATAAGTCTATTTCAAAATATGTAAATGTCGCTAAAATATATACCGCGAGTAAATAATAAAATATATAAATAAATAAAATTATATAAATAAATAAATAAAATAAAAAAGTAAATAAAATTATATGAATATAATTATATAAATAAAAATATAAATATAAATTATAATATATTAAATAATTTATAAATTATATATAAATATAAAATAATATATAAATTATAAAATAATATAAATATAAAATGATATAAAATAATATATAAATTATAAAATAATATATAAATTATAAAATAATATAAAATAATATATAAATATAATTATATAAATAAAATTATATAAATATAATTATATAAATATAATATTATATAGATATATATAAAATAAATAAAATTATAAAAATAAATAAATAAAATAAAAATAAAATTATATAACTAAATAAAATATATAAATAAATAAAATATAAATAAAGTAAATAATATTGAAGACGGGAGCGGGGTGATTAGAAGATGACTCTGTCTGAGTCGGGTTTCATAATTTTATTAGCGTAGTGGCTCATAAGGTATTAATCCTGCTCTGTCCACAGATGGAAAAAAGACTGAAAGCAACAAAAGTGTCGCTCTACAGAAGGATGCTGAAAATACCTTGAACTGGGCATGTAACGAAGGCAACAATTTTAATTTCTAAGGAAAAGGAAATGGATAGCGTCTCGGATTGAGGAATCGGAGAGCCGAGTTCGAAATCAAGTCGAATCCATTACATTCACTTACGTGCTAATACCCTTGGGAAAGGTGTGAATCCTCTTCTTCTCCCTCCAGCTATGGGTAAATAGCAGGACAAACCAGGTTCTATAGCCTTAGATGGCAACTGGTCTACCGCAGAAAGAAATGGTAACCTACTGCGGAAAAAAAAATCTGCCTCGTCAGTTATGTATCGAAAGATACATGATCGCCTAAGCGTGTATCATGCATGGCACATAACTGACTGAATGAATGGCGGCTCGGATTGAGGAATCGGGAGCCGAGTTCGAATTCCAATCGAATCCATTACATTCACTTACGTGATAATGCTCTTTGGAAAGGTATGAATCCTCTCCTCAGCTATAAGTAAATAGCAGAACAAACCGGGTTCTATAGCCTTGGTCTACTGCAGAAAGAAATGGTAACCTATTGCCTCGTCAGTCATGTATGAAAAGATACATGATCGCCTAAGCGTGTATCACGCATAGCACATAACTGATTGAATAAAAAAAAATTCTTAAAAACATAATTAGGAAGAAGGACTTGGTAAAATTGGCATTCACAAGGCATTTCGAAAGTGTGTAACTTTTGAATCTATGTAAATATCGCTAAAAGATACAACTAGAAAAATGTTATACAGTGTAACCCGGATATAAGAGAGTTGTCGGGACCGGAAACGAAGTCTCTTATATCCGAGTTTCTCTTATATCCGGGTCTCTTATATCTGGGTTACACTGTATATATAGTCGAGTGGGGCTCCATAGTTTTATTAGCCAAGGAGCCCCGAAAAATCTGAATCCGGACCTGTTTACAACCAGGGCCGTTACGTATTATTCCCGAACCTCCGACCGAGTGTTAAGTCTGATTGGGGGTCCCGGGCAGTGCCTGGTGACCCTCGTTATCTTATCAGAATTTGTCTTTTTTCTGTTTACATTTGTTTTGCTCATGATAAGTCTCGAAAAAAAAAAAATGATGGAATGATTGATTATTATCTTCTCGCCACTATTAAACATCGGAAGATGGCATGTTTCGGCCATGTCACACGCCATAATAGCCTCTGCAAGACCATCTTGCAAGGCAGTGTTGAAGGCGGACGCAAGCGGTGACGACAAGGCAAGAATTAGTCAGACAATAGCAAAGAGTAAACGGATATGACTATTCCGGAACTTCTGAGATCCATCGCCAACAGATCATCCTGGAGGAGATTATCTCTTTCTTCGGCCTTTAGGTTTTTCCTGACGATTGAAGCCGTCAAGGGATACGATGATGATGATGATGATCTCTTATGACAGGTCTCTAATTTGTATTTAGATACATTGCATTTATTTTCAATTTTTCTAGTTAAATTGTTTACCTATATTGCATAGGATCCGTTATTGTATATAATTAGGCTACAATAAAATTTGTATTTGATATGAAAATTGAGATGTATTAAATTCACTGGCCCCCATATGATAGAAGGGGGCGTATCATAGATTAGGGGGGGCACAAGATTCTTCCACTGTCCCTGTTATTATACATCGTTACAAATCTATAAGAATTTAAAGTTGTATATGAACTTTATAAACTTTCTGTATATTATGACACACTGACGGACAGACAGAATTTGCCGTTTATTTATTTAAGATGGAATGATCTATTTTGACATGTCTCTTATTTGTATTTAGATACATTGGATTTAGTTTCAATTTTTCTAGTTAAATTGTTCACCTATATTGCATATGATCCAATACTGTACATAATTCGGTTACAATAAAAGTTGTATTTTATATGAAGATTACCTTATGAAAGCTGAGATGTAGCCAAGTGGGGAGCTGGTATCATAGATTCAGGGGTGGGGAACGAAACCTCGAGAGTGTTCTTAGCAACCAAGGATTGAAGCAGTCATGAAAAATGATGATAATCTATTATGACAGGTCTCTAATTTGTATTTAGATACATTGGATTTATTTACAATATTCCTAGTTAAATTGTTCAACTATATTGCATAGGATCCACTATTGTAGATAATTAGGATACAGTAAAATTTTATATGAAGTCTACCTTATGAAAATTGAGATTTAGCCGAGTGGAGAGCTGGTATCATAGATTCAGGGGTGAGGAACGAAACCTTTGGGCCAATCGTACCAAGATCCACAAGAGGAAGTTGTCTTTTTCTTCTGTTCATAGCCCCCCCACCTCCGACGATTGAAGCAGTAAAGAGAGACGACGACGATGATGATGATGATGATCTATTATGACGTCTCTAATTTGTATTTCGATGCATTGTGTTTATTTTTAATTTTTCAAATTGAATTGTTCACCTATATTGCATAGGATCCATTATTGTACATAATTAGGTGACAATAAAATTTGTAGTTTATATCAATGGTAGCTTAAGTAAATTGAGATGTAATAGAGTGGGGTACCCCGTGGCATAGATTGCGGTGAGGGCAATGAGCCCCTTGTACCGATCCTTCTTACAACCATGCATACGTATTGTAGTTTATATATTTATATATATATATATATATATATATATATATATATATATGTATATGGATAATTCTTCTATTTTCCAGATTGTTTCAACGTAACGCCCGTGCGCGATAATAGTGACCTATCTAGTCGAACTGATTAATTCGCAGAAAATTTTAAGTTTTAATTTTCGATAATTTCTTTCTCCACGTAGCAACAACATAATATGATACAGTGTTTCTCAATCGGAGCGCCTTGAAAGGTGATATTTGTCCTGTAACATACAGAATTGTGGCACAAGACCGGGGAGAGAAGTGGGGGAAAGCTGGACTTCCTTAGCTATCCGAGTCAATCAGACTCGCGAATGATTCGTTAATTACAATTAGCTCATTCACCAAAAGAACTTATCCATCACCACTCGATCCTGCATACACCAAAATGCCGCATATTCATAGGGGGACCTACAAAAAACACCTCAATCTGGTGAGAGTCTAAAATGTCCTTTTTTTTGGTGGGGGGATTTTTTTTTTTTTCTTAAATATAAAAATTTCATGATTCATGAAATGATGTAAAGGGAAAAATTACTCAGAAAATAAACTAAAATATGACACAAAGATAAAACATAACAAATATTAGTAGCACCCATCCACCCCTCAAAATAATAAGAGAGGCCGCTGTATTCTGCCACTTGACAGAATCAAGCAGTACGTTAATGCGTCTTGAAAGGTAGCCAGGTGCACCCCAAGTTAAAAGAAGGGTCATTTTATTATTTTTATATCTAAATTTTCTTCCATGTTTGAGTCAAGTTTTTGTTCATTTGATATTTTAAACTGAATGCTAAATTCCTTAATCTTTAAGGAGTGGATAATCCTTTCTCTTTTGCCATCGACGAATTTAAATCAGTCATTATGGACACGGATAGCGGCTCGGATTGAGGAATCGGAGAGCTGAGTTCGAATTCCAGTCGAATCCATTACATTCACTTACGTACTAATACCCTTGGGAAAGGTATGAATCCTCGTCTTTCTCCCTCCCAGCTATGGTTAAATGGCAGGACAGACCGGGTTCTATAGCCTTGGATGTCAACTGGTCTACCGCAGAAAGAATTGGTAACCTACTGCGGGAAAAAATCTGCTTCGTCAGTCATGTATCGAAAGATACATGATTGCCTAAGCGTGTATCATGCATGGCACACAACTGACTGACATTAAAGGTCTCTTAAAAAAGTAAAATAACAGATTCTTCATAAAACCATTTAAATGAAAACTCTACCGATCAGATAGACGATGTAATGTCTTAAAAAGAAACACTTATTTTCAGGAGACTTTTTTACTACTTTCAAATTTCGTGACTTATTTTTCCTTGTTACAATTTAACGGGCGTCATGGAGTTTTAGTTAGTTTCCAAGTGCGTCCTGAATTAAAAATGGTTGAGAAACACTGGTATAGTATATATTGTTGGTGCCTGCTGTAAGTTTTCTTTTTCTGTGCTTTTGATTTAGGCTTTCAGCCATATCACGTCGAAACATTGGTTCCCGTACGATTACCGAAGTTAAGCAACGCCAAGCCTGGTCAGTACCTAAGTCGGTGACCACTTGTGAATATTAGGTGCTGTAAGCTTAGATGCACGGTTGGAAGAATACGGCTTACGGACATATCACGTTGAAACATTGGTTCCCGTACGATCAACGAAGTTAAGCAACGTCGAGCCTGGTCAGTACCTAGGTGGGTGACTGTTTCGGAATACCAGGTGCTTTAAACTTGGATGTGCGGGCGGAGTAATGGGCTTAAGGCTATACACGTTGTAACACCGGTTCATGTACGATCACCGAAGTTAAGCAACGTCGAGCCTGGTCAGTATCTAAATGGGTGGCCGCTTGGGGATACCAGGTTTTGTAAGCTTGGATGTGTGGATGGAGTAATGGATAACGTCACGGAATTGTTAACTGGAGAGACGAGTTCCAATTCCTTTTGGGTTCGTTATATGACTTGCATGCAAATACCCTTGGGAAAAGTATGAATTCACCTCTTCCCCCCCCAGCTATGGGTTAATTAGTAAGATTTGTATCACTAAAAACGTTATTATCTAAAAGAAACTACGTATAAAATATTTAGATTTCGGTATTAAATAACCAATAACCAACCATGTTTTTGTTTGGCTGCTTTTTTTCCTCCATATTGTCAGTGTTTTTTCATCATCCTTTGACCTCTCTATAGTTAGTTGGAACTCCATTGACAATTCCTTTCCACACTGTTCGTTCCTGTATTACTGTCCGCAGATCCCCAATTGTCCAACACTGTGTCCCCGTGTCTGGGAAAGTCAATTTTCGTGAGAAGACACTTCCAGAAGGATGCCATAGGAGTAAGGGGAGACATTTTCCGTGTCCACTCGGTAACAGTCGCCGGCAAACGTTAAATGTTCTTTACATGACACAAAAAGTACGGAAACGAAGTAAAAATTGTAAAAGTTTAATTTATTTTAATTTAATTTATTCTTTCTCATGTTTACACTAAATGTCTGGTGGTGATCAGGAGAGTTTAAAACTGCAGGACCTTCTTCAGTATCCTCCTATACCTCGTAATATCGGTAGATTCAATTCTTCACACAAACTCGCGTCTAGTGATTCCTTGACACTGTTCCAAGTGATCCAACAACTCTACCCCCCCCCCCACTACCTGTACCAGTAACGGTATTCACCCGATGTGTGTTGAGCCGGCTCCAATATTGGAGTTTCATGGAAATTTGGAATTCACAACCGGTCCCCAACCCGCATGTATAGCACATGAGATTTGATTATAGTGGTGAAGGTTTCGTGCAGGACCATCCACACTTTTTGAAGGGTCGATTACAGAGACCTGGTGCACTACGTGCCACAAGGTCCCCAAACGACCCTCTGCAGGTTTTGAATTCAGAATTTTCCTTCTCCTAGACCAGTTGCCATTCAAGGCTATAGAACCCAGTCTGTCCTGCTATTTACCCATAGGTGGAAGGAGAAGAAGAGGATTCACAACTTTCCCAAGGGTATTAGCACGTAAGTGAATATAATGGATTCGACTGGAATTCGAACTCGGCTCTCCGATTCCTCAATCCAAGCCGCAACGACTCTAACATAGGTATGGATCTATCTTTCATATTCCTGAGCTTGATGAGCCCCCAGGCGAAGTTCTTGTAGTTTTACAATTTTTTATTTTCTTTTATCTTCTCCTTATGATCAGCTGCTGTTGTCACGTATACTTCTTTTTCTTAATCACTTTTAAATGCCGTGTCCCTTCAGGACATAGGCGACCATGGATCTCCACAGTTTCCTTTTCTTTATTATCTTTGGGTTATAGAAGATTAGTTTCTCGTTATCGTCTAAATGGTTTTGAATTCAAAAATGTATTCTTTTTGATTGGCTGCTACCCAAATCTAGAGAGCCCAGACAGCACTACTATTTAACCAATGTCTCCGGTCTTCCTGCTTGGGTGGATCTCAAAATTCCAGAGAATTTTTTTTTTCTTTTCGAAGACAGTTTGTTGGTTATAATTAATTTTACCGCCTTTTTAATCGAAAAAAAATTTTAGAGAAAAGAAAGCATTTGGAAGAAATTATTCATATTTGTTTTCAGCGAGAGCCAACATTTTCAACATTGTGTTTACATTTGTATATATGCTAACCTATAGGCATACGAATTACCGCAGTCATGGCAGGGATCACCAAATTGGCAGAAATATGGAGGAGCGAGATCAGCTTTCAAACCAGGTACAGATTCTATTTACATTATTCGGACTATTGTCCTCATCTTTGTCGCCATATTTATTACAACGTTTCGGCCTATCAGTATCTGTCTATATTTCTGAGATGAGGTATTATGTACACTATTTACATTATTCGGACTATTGTCCTCATCTTTGTCGCCATATTTATTACAACGTTTCGGCCTTTCAGTGTCTGTCTATATTTCTGAGATGTGGTATTATGTACACTATTTACATTATTCGGACTATTGTCCTCATCTTTGTCGCCATATTTATTACAACGTTTCGGCTGTACGCTCCGGCCTTCTTCAGGTGTTTGGAATATCGAACTGAAACCTTTATTTCGCTCACTGTGGTACACTGTTCTAGTTCTACGTGCCATGTTTAATATAGACAGATACTGAAAGGTACAGACTGTACAAATCGCCGGTAGTCTCCATTCTCCTATATGGATGTGAAACGTGGATATTGTTGGCAGAAACAGAGAGAAGGGTCCAATCGTTTGAAAACGAATGCATGAGAAAACTCTTTGGCATTTTCTATTGGCAACATAAAACCAATGAGTTTGTGCGGAAAAGGTTTGAAAGTTTTGTGGGATATCAGGAACCTCTTCTCGCCATTGTCAAACGGAGAAAAATGGCGTGGTTTGGACACATTACAAGACACGACTATCATGAAAGGCACCATTGAAGTTTGTCGTAGGAGAGGACACCAAAGGCAAAAACTGGTTGGACAATGTCAAAAAATGAACAGTTATGGCTGTACCAGAATTGCTAATGGCTGCCGTTCATCGACCGTTGTGGAAAGGAGTTAATGTGGTTTCTGCATTCAGATCCACCCTACGATTACAAACGTCAAGGGGATGATGATGATGATGATGATGATGGTATGCTAATCCTATAGACATATTGAGTATCAGGCTACAGACGCACCACGCTAGGTGTTGCTGCTGTGGTTTCCCAAGAAAGTAGTGTTCTTTCAGGGTGCAGCTGCTAGCCCCACGCCTAACCGGTATCCAATTTACATTTGTTCGCCTCCTATATTGGTTTCCAACCAAGGCTAGAGCGAACTGGCTGGGGGAAAGATGAGATGGATTCATATTTTTCCACTGCGTGCGAAAACGAGTGCAACAGTCTTTGAACTCGGCACGTCTATCTGTATTTCCCACGCCGATAATCGACACGCTACGGCTCCAACAATTTTTCAAGAATGTATAGCGCATATATTTAAAATAAAAAGGAAATCTGTGAAGCCACGTATACAGATATCATTTTTTTTTAAAAAGCTTTAACAAATAACATTCTCTTCCCACTCACACATACACTTCCAGTTATTGGTAAAATAGCAGGGTAGACTAGGATCTCAATCCTTGGTTGGCAACAAGTCTAGAAGGACAACTCTGGATTCAAGCCAAGTTCCAAGTTTGGGTAAAAGCGGGGTTGAACGAAGATCTAGGATGACTTCACCGTAAAACGTACTGAACATCCAGTCTTATATTCTACAAAGATCCTTTAAGGTATGAATAATCGTATAAATGGATCTGGGGTAGCTTCTCAGACTGAAGTTTGCGAGTCGAGCTCAAATTCCAGCCAAGTCTGTTGCATTTACTTTCGCACGGATGCGTTATCCCTCACCTCAGATACTGGTTAAATAGTAGGGTAATCTGGGCTATCTGGCCTTGGTTGATAGCCAGTCTACGAGAAAGTTTTCTCTGGACTGAAAACTGTGGCGAAAGGAACGGGAAGGCATTTCGATGTCATTCCCAGAGAGCAGGACCGGTGCAAGTGTCTCGCTTCATCCTTTGATAGTTTAATTTAATTTAATTTTTGACGTATGTAGATAGAAATAAAAGCAAATTCACAGATAATTAAGAAAAGAAAACTGTGGAAAGACGTGATCGTTCAACTCCCGAAAGGACATAGCATTACAACAACAACAAAAAAAAATCACGCATTTGGCTAAATAGCTGGGTTTTCTAGCAGTGGTAGATAACCAACCTAGAAAAAAAATTAGAAACAAGTAATAGAAACCGCTCCTAATCTAGCTATGTATAAAATCTCGATTTTAGTGTAGGAGAACACTAAACTAATGGAAGGTTGCTAATAAAAAAAAATGGTCACCTCATAAATCACTGTCCCTTGTGACAACCAGGATATCATCGACATTAGTGGGAGAGGCTTCAAGAGGAGGACCTCTGTCTTCAAGATTAACTACCGTATATCGAATATAGACATTCTCGTCTGATACAAGGCCACTGATATGCAGCGCCCAGTGAGGATCAAACTCACTTTAGTAGGAAGAGTTTGTAAGACTAGCCTGTAAACCAAGGTAAAACGTATATCAATATTTACTGATTTAATTTATTCTGGCATATATATATATATATATATATATATATATATATATATATATATATATATATGTGTGTGTGTGTGTGTGTGTGTGTGTGTATAAAAGTGAACATTGAAGACAACACTCAGAGGCGACAGGGTGTTTCATGCTAGACGCAATCGTTTTATATTTACATAGGCTCTATCTCTGATATTGAGCACTTCAATATAGCACACTTTAAAACTATATATATATATATATATATATATATATATATATATATATATAAACTTGTCTCGCTAGAACAATTATGAATGTCTAGTGTGTTCGTGTGTAGTGTGTTCATTCGCAGACAGTACTGTTTTGCTGTATTACAGCTCCTCAGTGCGACTAGACAACCGAATGCCTCAAGCCCGGATCGAAACCCAACCGATTTGGTTTCAGTCAGAAGGCGCTCAGTTAGGGATCGAACACATATCGACCGTCTGTTATTCTCTACCTCGAGTGACTCTTGGGCATTGTAAAGGTTGAAGACTATTGTAAAAAAATAAATAAGATAGCCCCCGAGACTGTCTCGCAAACAACTACTTCATAGGCATCCATTAGCTCGGATTAATACGAGGTACCCTTGTATTGGTATCTGGGGTACCTTATTATAGAAGTGATATCTGTCCGTTTGATTCTCATCGTGGTCGACGGGAAGGTGATTTCTTAATGTTTATCATCCCAGGGAGGTGATCCCAGCGAGCGGCACCTTTGGAAAATGCCTGAAAAACGCACCCAAACGAGTGAAATTGGGTAGACGGAACTATTTGGATGACGTCGATAGCCGTGCTAGCACGAAGTCTCAAGTCATCGTGACCGAGGGTTTGAATGTACCTACCTTATTCAAAATGTTGATCACGCCAGATAATGTGCTCAGCGTTATAGTTGCAGTATAAACCAAAGCTGAGCTGTGGGGGTGTTGAAAACACAATCACAAATGTGCCAGAGCAGGCGACTGCAACGGGGATTGGCTAGCCGCCAAAGGAGACAGGTGTTCTCGGATACAAGTGGTCAGTGACCAAGTTTGCTAGCCGTTGTTCTGCGATTCGTTTTTTTAAATTACTTAAGTCTGGCACAAGGCTACACAGATGATCGAACTAATGTAATCACTACTAGTAGTTGTTGTTGTTGTATGTCGACCTACATTTTATCGATTTTTTTTATGGGGAAAAAAATTACCCATTATTACAAAAGCTACTAGCTTGCTAAGTTTCACGGTACATCAGCCTTTTATTGTCACGCTTAATTTAAACTAGCACAAGGTCACACGTGAGTCACTCAGTGAGGGTCGTACTTAATAGTAATGAATACAGGGACAAGCTTGTTAACCACAGCTCCACCCTTGATTTGTAACCAAGTGCGTGCAATAAAAGTGTTGCTTTAGTTTCAAAACTAGTCTACAGTTATACTGTTAATATATTTTAAATTGAACTCATAAAAATGTTGTAAATATTTATACATTCGCTTTAATATATATATATATATATATATATATATATATATATATATATATTATGCAGTTTTACATTAGAACATGCACATACCCACTACAAAACTGTACATCTTGTTTCAACATTAAAAAAACCGCAAACTTTTTTAACGTTTCATCAGTTTCGAATTATATATACTGTGTACTTATCTAAAAAATAAATACACTTAACTACACCTTTATCCAACGGCTCAGGGGTAGAATCTTCGACTGATGCCAATTCAGCCGGGTTTCGATCCTAAGTAAAGGCAAACAGACGTCTAGCCACATTGATGAGCTGTGATGCACAGACACTGTCTGTCTGTGGGTATATATATATATATGGTTTCGATCATAGGTAGAGGCAACTGGACGTCTAACCATATTGATAAACTGTGATACAACGAAACTGTTGGTCTGTGGGTGTATATATATATATTGTATATTTAGGTAGCAATCCTTCCTTTATGCACGTTTCATTAAAAACGACAGACAAGGTACTACGGTTAAGCTTTTTATTTAATTTTTCTTGTGTTCTAACAAGAGCTTTCTTTTCTGGACAAAGGGTGTGTAAGAACTGTCCAAATGTTTTATATTTCCGAGCGCTTTCGGCTATACCTTTAGCCATTATCAAGGATGATTCAATTTTTCAGCTTAATTGAGTGTGTACGTTCTGTGTATGTCTTAGTGTGTGGTAGGGATTTCCGAATACGGTTAGCATACGAACGGTTATATACGGTTTTATATATATATATATATATATATATATATATATATATGTGTGTGTGTGTGTGTGTCTCATTGGATAATTTAGAAAAGTTTGATATATATATATATTCATTCTGTTTATACGTTATTTTTATAGATATACTTTCTTTAAGTAAATGCTATGTTTTTTTCATTAAACAATGTTAATTACATTTACCGGCCTGAATGTTCGAGAAATTTCTCCGACACGAAATCGAACATGCAACACTTACGGGAACCGTCATTTGGCCCGATGTGCTGTTAAACATTCGGCCACAGAGAAGCGTCTGGTTTGCCAAGTCCGAATTACTGTTTATAAACACAAACCTTCGACGATTTTTCTAGATCGATCATTTCTGCTCACAAAACGTACCTTAACGTAAACAATGACAACATATTATAATATGGATTAAGTCTGACAATTATTTAATATATTTTCTGTTTATACGTTATTTTTATAGATACAATTCATTTAAGTAAATTTATAATGCGGGGAAGGCATAAATGTGTGTGTGTGTGTGTGTGTGTGTGTGTGTCTAAAATATCAGATATAACTAAATATATATCTGTAAAAGGACAATATAGCTAAAGACAAAAGGAAATCCTATCTTAGCCAATGCGTTTCGTCCTCTGATGAACTTTATCAAGACTAATGGTAGGATTTATTTTGTAAATAAAATCCTTAAAAATGCCTTGATAAAGTTCGTCGGAGGACGAACTTTGAGCCGAGTTCAAATTCGTCCTGGGTATGACGATAAACTACATCCGCGTCCTGGGTATGACGATAAACTACATCCGCGTCCTGGGTAAGACGATAAACTAAATCCGCGTCCTGGGTAAGACGATAAACTACGTCCAACAGCAGGGTCTCTGATCAGGAGGTTTTGAGGAGCGTGGAACCACCTCCTAATTGCTGGTGTTTCCACGTCCACCCTGACCCGGGGTAGTAGTACCTGTGAGGGTCCCAGATATGGGCATATAATTAACACCCAAGCTTGTGTAAAAATAAGTTTTAATACCAGAAATACTTTGTAATAATAAAAAATTCTAAAAAAAAAAAAAATTATTATTATAATAAATTATTATCAGCAAAACTTTAAAAAAAACAAAAAAAAAAAAAGTAGCAATACAAATAGCTATACATTTTTTGGAAAAAATTTGACCAGCTATAGATTTCTTCAAGGAAAATATTCCCAGAAATAGATTTTTGAAGAAAAACATATTACCAGCAATAAAATTTTGTCGGCATTAAATAACCCATAGAGGTGTTGATATGCCGTAAAACAAACCAAACCAAACAAACTACAGGGCACAGAATCCCCAATATGCACTACACGCCAAGAGAAATTTACAGTCAAACATATACTATTAGAGTTTGTAGATTTTGATCTAGTGCGGACAAAATATTACAAATTGAGTAATTAAAAAAAAACAAAAACTTTTTGCAAAAATAAAACCATCCAAGATTGTAAATTTCATAAAAAATGTTGGATTGTACTCAAAAATATGAGTAATTCAAAAATGGTTCAAATATATATGTATATATATATATATATATATACACCTTTTTTTTTACCAAACTTTCGCTATGAATTTATTTCAAAATTTTTGTTGGCATTAAATGACCCAGTGAGGTTTTGATATGTCATAAAACAAAACAACCAACCGAGTTCGAATTCCTGTCATTACATTCACTTACGCGGGAAAGGTATGAATCCATCTCTTCTCCCCCAGATATGGGTTAAATAGCAGGAAAGAGTCAGCCACGAATCGAAAAGACATGATCGCCCAAGCGTGTATCACGTGTGGCACTTAACAACAATATTTTAAATAAGAGGAGGTCTTGAATTTAACAGTTTTCTCTTATTTTTTTTAACATTTTTTAGAGTATGTTGGCTTTGGAAAAGATTAATTCTCTCAGGAATGGAGATATTGGAAGAATATCTGGGTTGTAGATATATATTTTGGTAAAATACAATAGCGGCACTCTCAAGAATTTTTCGTCAAAGTAATTTACGTTCTCTTTTAATAAGCTTGGCACTATTTACATCGAAGTTGTGGTGGAATTTATTTCTATATATGACTAATGCATTTGATAAATTAAATTTTTTTTCGTTTTTATTCATGTTGTCATTGTATAAATCCATTTACATTTATCTGATCCTTTCATAAAATGAAAGATATATTACACTTTTATATATATACATATATATATATATTTTTTTTTCAAGCGTAGCTTAGATGTGGCACAAAGGCCGAAATAGGGGGCACCAAGTGAGGATCGAACTCACTACTCAGTCGTAATTGTTCTAGCGAGCCAAACTTGTTAACCATAACACCGCCTCGAGATGCCCCAATATATATATATATATATATATATATATATATATATATATATATATATATATATATATATATATATATATATATATATATATATATATATCAAATCTTATCTCAAATAACAACTTAAAAGAGACTGTTTGACCAACACAAGGAATGTTAAAAGATTCACATGAAAAAGATAAAAATAA